GATATCACGTAAAATGATGACGAGAATTTTGTGCGGAAACTTTGAAAAAAGTTTTCTCGAATGAGAAAAAATGGCTTCAAGAAAGATCTTCCGGCACCTCCTCCACGCGAATTTTTTCATGTTTATATTATTAATAATACTCGCCGAAGCGGCTCGTGCAATTTCAGGTTTTTGAAAAACTCATTCGTGCAAATTAATTCCAAATTGAACTCGAGACCGTATGATCACCTATACAAATTGTAATTCTAGTTGGTTTAAATTGATCACGTGACGCGACTGTGTTCATCGGCGGGGGGACACTATCTACCCATAGTACCCGTCCGAAATAAATACCCGGATGGATAGTGCTCGCCGGAAAATTTGTTTTTCTGTAAATAAGCGGGCTCTTAATTTAGAAAATAAAATTGAAAGATTGAGTGATCTGCTTTGAGTGGGTTTTGAGTGGGTGGAAAAGAATTCAAACCATTTTTGAAGTGGCGAAGATAAAGTGTTTATGTCTCGGAACTATCGGTCTGATAGTTGCTTCATCTAAAAATAACATAACATTTCTTCATTTCTTCAATTTATCATCTTTGTGTTGTCAAATAGAAAACGTCGGGGAGACTTATAATTAAGAAATCAGTTCTGACGCAATCTCTTGGAAAAATCCCTAAAACTGTTTATATTTTGCTCTCCTTTCAACAATTCACTCGGCATCTTCATCTTGGTGTCCTTAGTTATAATTTTAGAACTGTTTTGACCACAAATGCATCTGCTTTATCCGACAGTTTGCAGATATCCGGCTTATTCTCAGCCGAAGCAAAACGGAATGTTTTCACAGCACTAGAAACGCCATAATATTAGATCAAGAAGAGTTTAAAAGTTCCCGATTGACCTTTAACTTGTAAATAATGTGTACGTTTGGCAAACGTCAGTTGGGAACTGTCGACCAGTCAAAACACACACTTTCTTCATGTGATTTGTGTGACACTTCACAAAATGGCGACCGCGGCATCTTCTGTGCAAGGCTCTTGGACGAGCGTGTTGTACGCGCCAAGGGAGGGATTTCTGCTGATATACGGTTTCGTCTAAACCTTTTTATTTCTCCTCCGCTTTCAGTTTTCCTCTCTGCCGATTAACATAAAATAAGACCAAGACACAAGCGGCAACTCTACCTGAGTGACACTACACTACTTCGGCCACGTTGTAAATTAGCCAACAAAATGTTTGCCAACACGAGTTTGACTACTTCAGTTTGCCGTTTGAAGGCCGCTTTAGAGGGTGCGCAACTTCGAGACTCAAACTAGGGCTCATTTCTCTCTCAGAGTCGCGATTCACCATTTTCCTTACGACTAATCAAGATGTACAGACAACCAAGACATCCTTGTAACCATTAAACCTGGTTAATGACACTTTATATATAGAAATGGTATTTTCTCGTTGCTAACAAGGTTCCACAAAAATCATAGGACATTCTCCTACTACAAAGTTTCGTTTTCTTGGTGGCAAAACACACTGCTTGACAATAAACTGAAACACCGTTTTTATTTTCTTAATCATATATCATTTACTTACAAATAGTATATTACATATATCTTAGTTTTTTAAAGTTTTATTTACTTATTGCTCAAATCACTTTTACAATCAGCAAACACGATCGGTGAACACAGTGTAACTTGATTTAGTTATATCGCGAAAATTACTTGGTCTGTATTAACTCAAAAATAATATCTATTTTTACGAACAAGCAACATTCACAGTATGTATGTATTACCTCCTTAGGAAAACATTTAAGTTGTCAAAGCAATGCACAATTCAGGAAGCACTCTTTCACATTTGTCAAAAGCAACAGTTAATGCAGACTGGCCTTTCTCAAAGGCAACATTTTCTTACAGAGTGAACGTTTTAGGTTCAATAATTGGCATCAGCAGAGAATCGTGTTTTTTTTGTTGTTTTTTTTTTCGGCATTTGATGCCACGAAATTAACTTGTGTTATATAATATAAGGGTGCTTTATATTGACGTACATTTGTAGTAGAACTCGGTTGCATAGAAAGCAAACTTACATCCCTAGTACCGGATAAGACAAAACATGATGTGCGTTGCACCATCTAAATACAGTTATACAAACAGGCGCGTACAATGCCTGTTCTGCAGAGTTCATAGATTTCTGCAAGGACGAAACTGGTAACTATTTTAAACTGGATTTTTCTGCATATTTTAGCAACTCATTGAAGTAAATTACATTTTGGTCCAATCGATTGTAGTTTTTGTACCAAGGCAGCGTCTATTGCTGAAACAACCGGTCTCCTACCACAGCAAAATAATCATGGTAACAACGAATGAAAACAAGGTGTGTCTGACGTGGCAAAATCAAGGTCAACAGGCTCGGTGACCTGTTATAAATCTCTTATTATATCTCTTAGTTAGTACGCGCGCTGTGATTGGTCAAAACTGTTTTCTGATTTATCGCCAAGTGTTCTTAACTTTTATAGCAAGTAAAAGTTTAAAACTTTCTTTTACTCTAGATTGTGTATTAAAGCGTGCTAACGACTTAAAAACAATTTCAAATTGCATTGTTTTGCTTTCGAGGTGCGTCAGAAAGTTGAAGCCGTTCCGCGTGAACAGAAATCGTTCCTGAGCTCGTCAGACACACGGTAGGGATATAATAAATATCTTACTAACCTCGTCTTCTCGGTCCGTACTGTAAGTTACGGATCCTCGTTTTTTCCCCTTTCGATTTATGGCCCGTATGCTTCGCGCTTGGGCCATAAATCGAAGGGGAAAAAAACTCGGTCCGTGACTCACAGTACGGCCCTCGAACTCGGTTAGTAAGAGGTATTTATGTGATTAGGTGTTACACAGACGTAAAGCCTCCTGGGTTTCTTGGAGTATGACAGTATATGGTTTGGCCAAAGAGGACCTTTGGAACAAAATCATAAACAAAAATCTCCAACGCCCAAAGCAGGTTATTTGGAATTTTTGAAATCTGAAAACATGTCTTTTTGTTTAGCGTAGGAGCTATTACACAGACCCTACAACTCAGCCCGAGCCTACTAACCTCGTTGTAGTCCTCAATTTTTTTGTAACTCAATTTTGACTTTCTGATAGAAAAATAAATTACTTTATATCTTTCCTTGAAGTTTTGTCTCAGAGAAGCTTAAATCTTAACCAGTATACAATGTTAAAGATGACAAAACAGACTGGAAAGAGGATTCTAGCGTAATCATCGATGCAGTCTGGATCGATCACATTAAGGCATGATGTTTTCACCCTGCACTGTGGCGTTCTGGGATAGGTCAGCGGTCTGCTTTCTATGTCACTGGAAGCTCCATGTCGCCTGGATTTTGATCTTTCGCAAAGATGTGTGCTTGGTTTTTTGGATTTATCGCTGAAAGCACTGTAACTCTGGGGATAGAAAAGAACGATGGCAAACAGATNTAATAAATATCTTACTAACCTCGTCTTCTCGGTCCGTACTGTAAGTTACGGATCCTCGTTTTTTCCCCTTTCGATTTATGGCCCGTATGCTTCGCGCTTGGGCCATAAATCGAAGGGGAAAAAAACTCGGTCCGTGACTCACAGTACGGCCCTCGAACTCGGTTAGTAAGAGGTATTTATGTGATTAGGTGTTACACAGACGTAAAGCCTCCTGGGTTTCTTGGAGTATGACAGTATATGGTTTGGCCAAAGAGGACCTTTGGAACAAAATCATAAACAAAAATCTCCAACGCCCAAAGCAGGTTATTTGGAATTTTTGAAATCTGATAACATGTCTTTTTGTTTAGCGTAGGAGCTATTACACAAACCCTACAACTCAGCCCGAGCCTACTAACCTCGTTGTAGTCCTCAACTTTTTTGTACCTCAATTTTGACTTTCTGATAGAAAAATAAATTACTTTATATCTTTCCTTGAAGTTTTGTCTCAGAGAAGCTTAAATCTTAACCAGTATACAATGTTAAAGATGACAAAACAGACTGGAAAGAGGATTCTAGCGTAATCATCGATGCAGTCTGGATCGATCACATTAAGGCATGATGTTTTCACCCTGCACTGTGGCGTTCTGGGATAGGTCAGCGGTCTGCTTTCTATGTCACTGGAAGCTCCATGTCGCCTGGATTTTGATCTTTCGCAAAGATGTGTGCTTGGTTTTTTGGATTTATCGCTGAAAGCACTGTAACTCTGGGGATAGAAAAGAACGATGGCAAACAGATTAAAAACTTAAGAAATTGTGTTGCGGTGCTCTACTTAAATTGTCATTCTCGTTAACATTGGCGACACACTGAGGAATATATGAGCCTCTGGTCAAACAGAACATGATGACCAATGAAAATCGATGATAATGAGGATTATTTAAAGAGGCGGCGAGGCCGAGTGGTTAGGGCGCCGGACTTGAAATGCGGAGGTCGCAGGTTCAAGTCCCGCTCTGACCACTTAGCTGGAGTTGTTTCTCGGTAGACCCTAGTTCAACTCCTCGGTCATGCTTGTAAATAACCAACTGGTTTGCCTCCCGCCAGTTGGGATTTTTAAGCCTATCATGATAAGTTGATACAACATTTGAACATGAATGGCCGAATTTCTGCCTAAGACGAATAAATTGCCTAAAAATAAATTCGCTGTTTAGACGAATTATGGGGCAAAATGTTCTTTTAAGCACGTTTTCGAGACATGCTAATAGGCCACTCTGCTGAAGCACTAATATTGCCCAATAACTGGTTTAATTAAACAACGATTCCATGTTTAGGCGAACTATCCGTCTTCATTGGATAAATCACATAATCCTAATATGGATACATCATAAATTCGGCCTCGGATAGTACGTTTGAAGTATGAAGCAGGCCAATGATAGAAGACTTTCACACACCGTTTTAGTCAGGGCTTAAACTATAACTGAAGACACAAATACAGTAAGGATGCAAATACAATTACCTCTAGAGGGTCGTAATCATAGTCGTGGCTCTCACGATGATTTTTATTAGCTACACTGCCATTCATTGCTGGCTTTCGGGAAGCTTTAGCTTCCTCCTGGATAAGACAAACAAGGAATGTGCAGTCGTTTAATGTTTAAACAAAGTAGACCTTTCCAGATTGGCTGGCTAGTTACTAATTTTATACTTTAGATTACTAAATAGGTTAAATCTTGCTGGCAAAAAGAAAGTTATCAATGCTATAAAAGCAGAGCTAATTGGTGTGCAGAACGAAAACAAAGGGGATGGCCGGAATAGTAACAACAAACTTTATCCTCTTTGATTTTGTTTCTGTATAGTTTAGGTTATATATAGAATAGAAAAGAAGACGAGGGGGAAATATGAAATTCCCATACCAATTGCCAGCTCGATACCAAGTTGAACAGGAGTAGGGAATTTCATCAGTACATGCACTTCCAAGTATTACATTGTAAACACGGTAATAAGCAACGGTAGCTTTGAGGATTTTCCAAAGAATTCCAACAGTCTTTTCCACAGGCCAAATGAACTTTTTGAAAATGTTCTGGCATTTCTTAAGATTGCCATGGGAAGTCTAACAAACACAACCTGCAACTGAGTTTATTCATCGTTCTATAGAACTACTGACTTTTTGATGGTTGTGGTAAAAATATTCGGGCAACTACGAAACTTTTGTATCGCGCCTCATGATTTGTCGCTCTGAACCGCCCGCAGAACGTTGCTATGTTGAACCCAGACTACAGCATAGTTTCTCATTAGTATTTTAAGCTGTTGAAAACACCCTCAATTGTAGCCTAACCTGATCACGACTCAAAAACGTACGAGCTCGTTATTTACTGTGAAATTGTGATCAGCGTATCAAGGTGCAACTTTATAAAAAGCTTCCTCGGTATGATCCGTATAATTCTTTGAAACACTTTTAAAGAAGTTGAAAATTGTATCTCGTTGATGAAAGTTAGCTAATAGAGAGATGGAGATCACTTCGCTAGATTTTCAGTTGTAAGATCTAAACGCCGAATTAAGGGTGTTCTTAACTAGTAAGGGCGTTACTATGGTAAACCGTTCTGGAAATATGACCACGACTGATTGGGTAATTCTTTCATACCAGCTAGTGTTGTTACATCAACCGATAAAAATGGAAGAAGTGTTTATCCAGTATAAGGTCTGGAAAATGCTAAAAAAAAAGTTACCAGCCATCTTAAAAATCATGTTGTCTTGATGCTTACTTTGCTACTTACCGCTTCTTGTATTTCATGCTCTATCATCAATCTCTTTAACCGTTTGTTGTGGACGTTCACGACATAAAGAACAAACGTGTACTCCACTAACACTCCAAATACAAACAGAAAACTTCCAATAAGGTACCAGTCTATCGCCTTGACGTAGGATACCTGGCAAGAAAACAAACACAGCAATGTTGGCAAACTTTGAGTCGAAAGTTGTGTTCTAAGGAGTCACCGTAGAGCATTAAGGTACCTGAATGGTAATTCATATTGTTAAAGTAAAATAACACACTAGAAGGTGATCCAAGATACAAAGTTTCGCTTTTCACTATCTCACACAGACGATCCACAAGTTAAGCTAGCTTGCTAATTAGGCATCTTGCCGGAAAACCCGAACGATCACATCATGGCTATCATTATGCCTTGCACTGCAAAGCACTATTCCAAATATAAACAACTTTACACGAAGCTAAGGTTCGATTTATTGTTATCCGAGGGAACTCATGATTAGCAGAAGTGACACTGATACCGGTATACTGGATTTGTCTATGTGCCTATCTATCTATCTGTCTGTCTGTCTTCCTGCTTATCAGCTTGTCTGCCTTTCTAGGATACTTATAGATTATTTTACTTCATAGAGAGTTTGTTACCTTTGGCATCGCTGTATTTAGCATGTTTAATATCGTTGTAATGGTCAGAACGGACGTTATTCCGAGAGCAATACGAGCAGCAGTGGCATCAGGAGGAATACAAAATGATATCCATGATAATATGACAATTAGCGCACATGGAGCATAGATGTGAATTAGAAAATATCCCGATCTCCTGACGAAGCTAAAGGAAGATTGCAGGCGCGACCAATTTCCTGATGAAAGAAAAAATGTGAACAAGATTTTGTCTATTAGTTGATACAAATCTCATTAACAACCTTTGTGGAAAAAAAATAATAGGCAACATGTTGTCTATCTTTTCGACCCTGAAGGGTAAATATCTGATGGGATAATTTTTGCTTCTATCATAATGTCTGTGGACGAAGCGAAATTTCTTATGTGTAACCATTCAAATAAGTATGGCACGGCGTTGTTTCACCAGGAAGCTGTTTGTGCAATTTCAATAAATGTTGCCTTTTAATCTTTGGATACAATCAGAGTGATTGCCCATTCAAACGAATGCAATACCTTCATCTAGTATGTACTATTTGTTGTTTTGGCCAGCATAATTTGAAATACATTTTATTTTAATGCTTTTTAAGGAACTTTTAATAACTATCCATAGAAGGTATCGAAGCACACAAACATGCATTCAAGCATACATATCTTAAATGTATAAAATTACTCATCCTTGATAATCATTTAGCTTTTAATAATCAGTGTCACTTTTGAAAGGGCACTCTAGAGTGACTCGCTCAAAACATTGCTCATATATTGTGGAAAACGGTCCCTGAATGATTTAAGTTGATCTTATGAAAAATAAGCTTAACCTGCATACCTGAGTAATACATCGTAAAATATCTTTTGGTTGATGTACCCGTCAAATTGTACTGGGGCATATCATCAAGCTTCTTATTAACTGCTACTCCTTTGTCAGTTCGATTTTCCCATTCATACTGCATATTGTCAGCGTTGTATCCATCTGAGTGGTATAAAATCATAAAATTTCCACATTACCGATCATTTTCACCAGTAGTCGTAAAGGACTAACTAGTATATATTGTATTGAAGCACACTGTCGTGTTCAGAGTTTTGCTGCAATGGCAATACTCATAGTATGGGTAAAGTCAGCGTACGAGCCAAGTGGTCCATCAGGGGCCCGTTTCTCAAAAGTCACGGAAACATTTCGGACCCCCAAAGCCATTTTTAGATAATCACTATCTAAAAACAGAGAGGTGTATACACCTGAAGCTTCTTGTATTGAATTGCTAGTCCATCACAGGGTTATTCGCCGGTACCCATTTCTACCCGTGGGTGGAGAGAGGCACTGTGAGTGTAGAGTGTCTTACCCAAGAACACAACACAATATCCCCGGCCAGAGCTCGAACCCAGACCGCTCGATCCGGAGGCGAACGCACTAACCATGAAGCCAACGTGCCTCCCACTCATAATAAAAACTTGAGATATTTAGAGAGGAAGCCACATCAGATGTAGCTGGTTTTCATGCGAATCCTCTCTCCTGTTCGATTTGGAGTGTTGGATAGCATGGGAAAGAATTATTTCCTTGGACATGGCAATCCATACTTACAGCTCTCGATGTTCAAATCGCAATGTTGTTCGTCAAATGGAAAGAGATGCAGGTCCATTGGACAGCTTGCCCGCACGGTCACTCTGAAACAAACACCATATAATTATGAAAAAAAATTTGAATTATAAACAGCCATAAAAATAAGTATTTCTTACTATAGAAATAGAGATGTTTGACAAACGGTTGAAATGTGTGATAATTAGGAATTGGGCATATTGAAATACTGAATGACGCTGTTATAACAGATGCAAAGAATGGAGGGATGCAAAGTTTGAAAACTGAAGTTTCGAGTGATAACCCTCGCCTGTCAAATGATAAAGAGAGTTTTACCAGTAACAATGTTTGGATATCAGGAAAATGTTGAAAGGATCTTGAAATATGCAATAGTCCTTTCAAAAATTGTTTTTCCACCATTTCATCATAATTTGTTATAGTTTAATTCTGTGAACTTATAACATGGTTATTATCAGTAATAACTACTTTTTCAAGCCAAAAAAAACGGGGTATGATTACTGAAATGGTCTGTGTTTGTCTTTTACCTTGCATTGTAATGGACCCCTCCGTCAGGCGATATGGACAACAACTTATTGACCATTGTCACTTTATGGAACTTTGAACTTTTAGAATTCTCAAAATACGTATCTGGGACCCATATTTTGTCCAGCATGGTGTTACTAAGTGCTAGTGTTTGATTCCAGTCGTGACTTAAGCGAGGGTCAGTCCACAGTTGCCTCAAGAAGAAATCCAGTTTGTAGTCCTTGGAATAATGAGAATAAAAAGTAATGAAGAAAACAATAAAGTGTATTTCATTAAGATTAAAAGTTTCTTTTTTTGGAGAGGTGTGTTAAGGTGGTAGAATTCCATCCCTTTCCCGATTTGTAATGGTACACATACCGCCTACAATGAGTAGTCCACTTAACTTCTTGGTCATTTGAAGCTAATTTCATTGCTGGTTGGTATAGGAGTCACAGAAATCAAAACTCAGTTTTTACCGTCAAGGATGGAGCTAATCACGGGCCTGCACATTTGCAGTTTCAGCTATTAGTTAATCCCTGTTAATAACCTAATTGGAACTTGTGCGAGTTTTGAATGGGCAATTCTGCTTGAAGTAGTCAACTAGTGAACGTTCGAGTATATGCAGCCAAACAACCAAGCTTTTAATCAAAGGAGGGAAGGACAAATGAAGTAATATACAGGCGAGAATTCCCTCAGTGAGCAAGTTTCAAAGTTGTCGCTAGAGGCCCAAAGAGTTCTCGAGTAGGTTAAGAAAAAATCAGGCTGTAAGTGGCAAAATGCAAGAACTCCCTTACCATATCTACAACGTTGATTGAGTCAATTGATAATACCCACAGTCCAACAGTAATGATAACAGGATCACCTACGAAGGACAAGAAAAATCAACCAAAATATTTCTTGTTATAATGTTTGCTAGTACATGTATAAACATAACAAGTACAACAACAACAACAAATATATTTCGGTTGATTATATTACGATGGCAGCTATCTGTAACTAACAGTAGCTAAAAAGACACACTAAACTTGACGTGGTTTAGCGATCTCTGATTGGCTAATAGGCATTTCAAAACGATTAACTGTGCAAAACTATCCATTTATGAAACTGATTTTGATTTTGAATGAAAATAAACGTGTAGCTTCGATACATTTTCATTTGAATGGTTCTGCACGAAGACACGTTTTGACACAGAGACAAGAGGCAACTTGCCTTGTCTATTAACTGATTACTTTCCTTTTTTCACATCACAAAAACAATACTGATACAAAGAATACGATTACTTACCCTAGTTTATATTATATACAATTATTTACAAAATAACTGAGATACTACGCGCGCGCTAATTGGTCGATAGGTGTGTTAAGATGAGGGTATGTAAACACGGTTGTGACACGCCTATGTTTGAGAAATTCTCTATAAAAACAATAGAGTACTTTTTCCGTGTTTACGGAGCCTCATCTAAACACTTGTGGGGCTGGAAGAGTTCTCGAAAGTTATTCAAATACTCAACTGCGCCTCGAGTTTGCATAGCTGTCTCGAATTCTCGAATTCTTGTTTTTAAAGCCATGCGTCGCCGAACATTTAATTTCTATTTTTTCCCATTTATGTTTTACAGCAAAAACATATGTTCTCCTGCGAATGAATCACTTAGTCGGTATTTGTTGATACAAATATAATAAAACTTTACATTAGGACCTTTAAAAAAATAGTTTTGACAAAGTGAGGTATCATACTTACCCCCAAAGTTTGGCCTGAGTCGATTGTCGTAACCTTTTATGAGTTTGTTTAAAAGAGCTGTCATATCCTCCGCAGAACGTCTGAAAATATTCACACTTTATTTTAAAAACAGCAATGAAACAGGCCAATTCCGAGTTATCTCTAGCCAAGGGTAAACAGTCAGGTGGTACAGAACAAAGTACTCTGCTGTAAATCCTGACCAATTGAAAACTAGAAAAATAGAGTAATTTTTAGCAACAGCTAACTTAAGATCTATCTAAGGGAGGTAAAAGCGAATTCGAGAGAACGACATAAACATATGTACATAGGTGAATTAAAGAACGACACAAAAATGCACACAGGTGAACGTCCGAACACAAAGTTCAAGAGCGAAATGTTTCCAAAACAACGGAAAAGGGTCTCAGGAATTGAATGTTCCACATAAGTGAGTTAACCAACATCTACATCCACATCTACATTGATTAAGTTGATAAGACCAAGACTATATTCTCTAAAAATGTATTTTCTAAATATTTGGTTCTACAACAACACTTCTAAGTGGAACACATTTCAGAACGGTTTCGCATGGAGACCCGTCAGTTTTGACACAGAGGTAGAAGGCAACTCGGAAATGGGCTATTTATAAATTGTTCGGTGGACATCACTTAAGAACAAAACCATAGTTAAGTATAAAAGCCAAGCCAAGGAGAGGAAAATTTTAACACTTAACTCTTAATTACCCACACATCTAACGGTACATCAGTCGCTTACCCACCAGCCTACCGCGGGGCCTTCCCACCAAGCTTCTCACCGCGCCACCCGCCGTAAATCATTATACACTCTTTCTATTTGTTAGGATTGACCGCCTTTTTCAGGAGGCAAATATTGAGATGTTTCGAGAATTTATCAAGCACGTATCTGTTGCGAAGTAACAATGTTTCTAGTGCGGCAAGGTGAATGAAAATACAACTTAACTCGCAAAACACAAACGAATTATGCAGCCATACAACACACTAAACTTTCATAAGGAAGAAATGCAAATGAAATAGGCAAACTGCGCATTCAGTGTCTCCTCTAACTTACTTAAAAACAAATCAGATCAAGGGGAGGTAAAAAATGATTACAAAAAATTATGGAGTCAGAACTCTTATGGATGGACGGTATTTTGCAGTCGTTTGTTGAAACGAAACTTGACAACCATGACAAATATTAAACTACAGGTACATCAGAATAACACAAGCCAAATATTCCAACTGTGACAGCTGCAGGTAAAATGCTGTTATATGCTACCCTTCCCTGTCGGTGAAAAATAAAATAAAAATTCTAACGGCGCCCTGTTATGTTTCGTTTCGTTTTTTTTTTTTTTTNTTGTTTGTTTGTTTTTTTTTTGTCTTTGTTGTTGTTTTCATTTTTTTTTTCTTTAAGAACAACTAAAACGGAAGCCGAGGATGACTGAGTGATAAAAACGTTAGTGCGGCAAACAAAAAGAAAGAAACGATAGTTATTAGTTAATTGCAGGTTTGAAGCATCCTTGAGTAAACAATAGCTGTTCTATAACTAATTAAAAAGCACATTGTGTGAGATGTAATGACAGCGTCGCCGTACGATTCATATCAGTAGCCAAAAATACAGGAGTTAAAGGAGAGTTTGAGCAACTATGGTTTGAGCGGAGCTTAGAAAATCGTTGTAACATAAACAACTGGGGACTGCAGCTAAAGAAAATGGGACAAACTCGGCTTTTTTTGCATCGCTGTGCTTTAGAAGTGCAAGTTCTGTTAATGTTTTTCGCAATTAAGTCTACGAGGTAGACATAGAAATGATCACATTTCATTCCACGCTACCTTCCTTTTAACCTAAAGAGAGATTACAGTAAAGTAATAGATCATGAGAATGCTCCAAAAAGTGCCTATACCTCTTACCTAGGTTTGCAGTAGACAGTGCTGGAACACAGCGCCACGAGGATGCATAATATAAGCGTCCAACTTGGCTTACATCCGCAAATCGTCATTTTGTTGGAGGCCAAAAAGGGGCCCTTGCAAAGTAACAAAACAGGAGAAGGCAATGTGAAAAAAATCGCATCAAACGCTATAATAGAAACACTCAGCTAATGTTTGATAAGGCAGAAGTTCAAGATAGGCTCCAACGGGGATCTTCAACCGTTTATTACAATGTAATTGTGATTGACTGAACCAGGCCATGCTTCATATCACGT